CTGAGGTTTCTCGATGTTGTTTTCAGTCACTTGTACTAGACTTTGCAAACATCACCATAAATGGAAAATCGAACAAATCTTCCTGGCATTTTCCAAGCATGCACTGCTGTCGCATTTTGCTGTCACATTTCGCTTGGTGCTTGTTCTGAAGCTGTAGCTTCAGCTTCTCAGACCAAGATCCGTGGATGTCTCATTCGACTCCCCCATCCCTTGCCCGACCCGGCTCGAAATGCTGATCTCGAGATACAATGCAAATCTTGCGGAGTCTCGAGCATGGCTCGATGGGGAATCGCAGATCATCACCCCTCCCCGAGTGCGAGGAGCTTCCGCCTCCTGTCGCCGACAAGTCGGCCTTGTCTGTGCCGCACCCCAAACGGGGCGGTTGAACAGACGAAGAGGGTCCGTCCGGGTGCATGACAATTTTTTATTTTTCTTGCGAGGGAGCGGAGCTTCAAGGGCGGCAATCGCAATTAACCGGAGACATGAGCTTCGCGGAAAACAAAATGGGAAATCGTGGACACAGGTAGTTTTTTCTGACGCTATGATTCCATTGTTGATCTGTTTCTGACTCTTATCAATGATAGAGATGCACTCGTTGTGTTCCATTAAGAAAAATAAAAAAATGTCTACGGAAGGAAGTATTCCAAGAGCCGGAAATGGGAGGGACGGAGAGAGAACAAAGTGGAGTTATGGGCGAAGGCCTACATTGTATGTAGTACCCTACCCACTTCCTCCGCGGGAGAGGTGGCCCAACGTACTGTACTCTGTGTGACATGGAAAGCCTCCTCACTCCTGTCTTCTCCTGTCTTGTCTTGCGGCTCTCTCGCAGTCACGGCACACACCGACAACATCATGAGCATGGACGGACCAACCGCATGGAAGGCCCACAAAAAAAGGCCGGCATTTAGACTATGAGGCCGTTCTCGAACGATGCGATCATAGCTTTGTCGAAGACATGTTCGTGAGGTGTTTTGCTTGCTGGAACTGTGCGTTCAGCTTCTGCCAGCAGACCTGAGTATGCTCTGGACACTCTGTAAGTGCGAACACATCAACAGATTCATCGGGCTCGGCCTCCAGGGTCATGATATCCCGAGCAAGTAACGCGATTCTGATGTTGGGTGCAAATAGGATGGTCAGAGCAGTGACCCATTCCCGCCATGTGTTTGGCGGCCTGCGTGTTACAGGTTCTCCTCTGGCGCGCAGGGTGGCTAGCATGGGTTCAGGCCTCCATTCAATTGCTGAACTGAGTACGAGGTTGAGGCTCTGTGCTGCTGTACCTTACGTTCCGAGAGGAAGGTGTTTGATAGCACGGTGGTCGATTCCTTGCTGAGATACGTTATCCTGAGATAGAAGGCTGGTGTGGACGTGAACGATAAAACGCCATCATTTCAGGAATGTCCTCGTCTGCTTTACCTTCGATTTTGATCGAGGCAGGCAGATCCGTAGCTTTGAGCGTGAAACGTTTCGTGCTGGCGTGCGTCTGGTCTACCGGTTTGTACTGCTGCCGGTCAAGGTTTTGGGTTGACCGCGGTGCTGTTCGGTGTGCCAGGGTGTTGCATTGCCCCTGCGTTGTTCGGGGTGTTTACCAACAGCGAGATGGAATCCGTGATCTGCATGTTTCGAGGTTGCGGAGTACTTCTACTGCTGTTGGAGTTATTGACAGCGGCATGGCGAGCAGTGAGGTCTTCGTGGGCTAACTCATGACTAAGACGGCGAGGATTCACCTGGGCTATCACGGGGTCGGGGATGGAGGTTCCCAGCGCTAGCTGGAGCACAGAGCCTGGTGGGTCGGTTTTTGTCTTGACCGCGTGTTTGAGCGCGCCTACCACAAACCGCTCGAGAGCACGGTTCAGGATCAGGCGCCCCCCGCCCAGGACCTTGTCGTCGTCCAGCATATCGCCTGCAACGCCGCGTGAGCCCGGCTCGCTGAGTGCGCCCTCTTCGTCGCTGCTGCCGGAGTTGTCGCTGTCGTTGCTTTGGGCGGCTGAATCCTGTTCGGATTCTTCCTCCCCGTTCGAGCTGTCCCCGCTCTTGCGGAGACTTTGGTCAGCACCCTGCTGCCTCTGCTGCTTGTTGCTCAGCAGTTCGCGGGCCAGGGGCGTTTTCCGCTGCCTGAGCCTTTTGTTTTTTCTTGCCTTTCTTTCTCTGGCCCGCAGTGAGGACCGGGGTGAACCCGTCCTCGCTAGCGGCCACGGGGCCCATTTGTCCCCTTCTTCTCTCTCGGGTATTTTACGCCAGACATCGTTTTCTGAACTGGTGTACCCGCGAAGAGACTTTTCGTCGAACGCCAATGAGAATACCCTTCCTTCCTCCGTTGTGAGTCAGGGTCCCTGAAGTGGTGAATAATCGTTCACCGACGGAGGTAATTTCGCTCTTATTGCAATGTGGCAAGAAATGACCACGCGTGGCTGACGTTAGTCAGTCTTGCTGGGGTGGAAGGTGAGAGTGAGCCCTTGGGCTCGCTTCTACCCTCCGGCTGGTCACAGCAGACGGAGGGTCTTCTCGTTGTAAAGATCTTCAGACCACGAGAACGTCGTTCCTGGGGTCACCGGATCTATACGGTTGTATGTCCGTCCATACTACTGGGAAGATACCTATATCCTGGTTTCCACAAGCCTGAGGGAAACAAACCATCAAGGTTGCAACGATGAAAAACAGGTGGCAGCCCCCACGAGGCAAGTCGCCGCCCTTCTTTTACACATATCCTGACAACACTCCTCCTGCAGCAGTAGTAGTAGCTCAAACACATCCAAGGCGTGTGGGGGGCCATTGTCGATGAGCATGAGAACCAGCCCCGTCAATTGCCCAAGTTCACCGCAGACGACGCTTTGTTTGGATGGTTGCGATGGGGGGTGTTTCCTTGCCACATCCTGTCACCTGGTCGGGCCCACAGACAGGTGTTTTCCCCCCTCCATGCACTCGTTCACCACAAGAACAATAGTAGTTCTAGGCTATTCCATGTTCAGATGAGAGGAAACAAACGCAGATTAGACTATACGCCCTCAGCCTCTCTCCCCTCCCGTCAATCTCCTGTCCCGCTCATTTTTTGGGGAGAGGAAAGAAAACTAGACTGGGATCCGCTCGCATGCAAGTAATGAGCAGAGCGCGTTCTGGATGATCTCGCCTAGTCTAGGAGTATTTGGCTGTAGTCGTGCGTAACCAGACGTATGTTCGTAGGATCAGCATCTCGGCATTGTGGTAGGATTTCCTCGCCAGAAGAGAAGTAGTGCATATAGACTACACAGGGGCGTGGGGAGAGTGTTATTTTTTGTCCACTCGGTGCCGGTCGTGGACTGTTTCTTTTTGGGCCGAACTTGCGAAACTCCTTTGCGCAGAAACGTTCTCTACACGAGCCCGCGAGCGTGATAATGATGTACACGCGCCGACACCCAGCCACGATCTCGGTTCGACGAGACCCAGACCGCGTGACCACAGGCGTCACCTTGTACCGCTGCTGACGGATCGCCGTCTACCGGGTTAGCTCATGGCGTGCGGTAGCCCAGTCCACCCTCCGTCGCCACCGTCACGGGAATCTCTCCTATCGTTGCCGCTCCCATCAACGAACGGTGGTGCCGCTGCTCCGTTCGTGAGTGCGTGCGTCCCGGCCGTCCGCCCCCGCGGGGAACACATGACTGCCCGTGGTCCCTCCCCTCGCCGCCGGTATGCTGCCGATGCCGCCGCTCCCGCCAAGAGAGCGTGCGGCCCGGGCGTTTCCCCCGCCACCGCCCGGGGGAAAACCCTGCCGCCGCGAGTCACCACTCTCGCCGCCGGTGCTGCTACTGATGGTACCGCTCTAGCGCGAGTGCCTGCACCACGGCCGTCCCGACGACCGGCGTCGCGGGGAACACATTACTGCCGGTAGTCCCTCTTCTCGCCGCCGGTGCTGCTGCCGATGCTGTCGCTCCCGCCACGAGTTCTTGCGGCCCGGCCGTATGGTACCGCTCTAGCAGCGAGTGCTTACACCCCGGCCGTCCCGACGGCCGGCGTCGCGGGGAACACATGACTGCAGGTGGTCTCCCTGTCGTCGCCGGTGCTGCTGCCGATGCTGCCGCTTCCGCCACGAGAGCCTGCTGCCCGGCCGTCTCCCCCGCCGCCGCCGCCGCGGGGAAAACCCTGCCGCCGGGGGTCACCACTCGCGCCGCCGGTGCGGCTACCGATGGTACCGCTCTAGGCGCGAGTGCCTACACCCCGGCCGTCCAGACGACCGGCGTCGCGGGGAACACATGACTGCCGGTGGTCCCTCCTCTCGCCACCGGTGCTGCTGCCGATGCTGCCGCTCCCGCCACGAATGCCTGCGGCCCGGCTGTCTCCCCCCACCGCCGTGGGGAAAACCTTGCCGCCGGGAGTCACCACTCTCGTCCCTGATATACTGCTCCCGACGGTGCCGCGCCCTCCGCGAGTCCCTGCGCCCCGGCCGTCTCCCTCTGTCAGCCCATCGGAAAAACTACTTCAAGCGGTTTTTCGTGCGGTTATTTCGCGGTTTAGTTCTTCACTGTAGTATCCTTTCATCGTAGGTATTCTTCGGATTTAGTTCTTGTTTGGCCTTGTCATCGTCGGCACCATAGTTGTTTCAGGGTCTTCATCGCGGTCTGGACGCCTTCATTCTTCAGTCACTTTGTTTTTGCTGTGTTCGTGCTCGAGCAGTTGCGGCTTCCCATAAAAAAAAGGAAAGCTTTAGACAGGCAACGCCGACGAAACTCGTCGAGGAGTTGCACATCAATTTAGTAAGGGTGGGTCGAAATTGATTTTTTTCTATTGCTCTGCAGCTCGCGAGCTCAATATCTGTGTACCCCGCTACCACCACCATGGTTGGTCCTCGCCCGGAGGATTTATTTTCGGGCGGCGGTCTGATCCTTCCCCCTCCTGCGGGTGGGTTAGGCTTAGGTGTGACGGGGCGCGTCTCAACATGCGAAGCGATACGTACGTAAGTACCCATAGGGCGCAAGTTGTGGCCACACGAGAAGCCCGAGAAGAATACACACGGCCGGGTTTTTTGCTCCTCAACTCTTCGAACGTATCCGAATTCATATCCCAGACTGATGACGGTCAATGTTACAAGAACGAAATCCAGAGCAGATCAACTGCGCTCATGCCCGCCAGCAGGTGGTGCGTTTCACCACCTTCCACACCAAGCCCTAACCTGACACTAATCCGACAATAAAGAGTGCAAAATATTAGATGACGTCCTGCCTGGCGCACGCGGAGAGCGCCCCTGCCGGGAATGCTCTTCATTCAACGTAGGTTTTTCACAACAAATCCCTCATTCGTACGGGACGTCGAACGGCGTTCGTGTACCCCGCACGGAACTGATATCGAATCGGGATTTTCCCTTTTCCGCTTCCGGCCTCCTCGTCTTCCACCGTGCCCCGCCTCGCCACCCCTTCGTGTCGGACACGCTTGGAACGCTCTGCCGCGGTCGCCTGATGCCCGTCAGTCGCCGAACAGCTGATGCTGCCGGCCTGTACCGCCGGTGTCTCGCAAAGCTTGTTGACGGAAGACTTGGAAGGAGACTTGGTGTCATGGGTAAAATCGATGGCAGCGCTTTGCTTGACAGCAGCAGCGTCGTCCCCGGCGTCGCGTCGGGAGCCAGTGCCGTCCTTCCTCCCGGAGATCCAGTTGGTGCGGTTCCAAAACGGTACCGGATGCGCGGGTCTATCATTCTCACTATCGCGGAACTTGGTTGTGGCCGGTGGTGACGGCGGGGGCGTTTTGTTGGTCTTCGTCTTCTTCATCCCCGCCGACCCTACCGCCGCCGACCCCCCCTTTCTCTTCGCCGCTGCAGCTGCTGCCGCTCTTCCGTTTTCGTCGGCTTCGCTTGTGCTCTTCCCGCTTGCTGCTTGAGCACCTGACGATTTTCCCGCCTTGGTCGTGAAAGGGTGCCCGGTTCCTCGTGTTGCTGAAGAGGCTGCGGCGAACGGATCAGATGCCTCGTTCTTCGCAAATGCGGCATCTTCCCGGTGTGATAGTTTGGCTGCCTGCGGCAGCGGGTTGTTAAGTCGCAGTGATGACAACGTGGAAGGCGGGCAAAGTGACGCCGAGGGGGGGTATTAGGCGGAACTAGGGGCGACCTCAGGTAGACGTGATACATTTTCAAGCGAGCAAGTAAGGGAAAAGCCAGAGCCACTCGCTAGTGCTGAGGCACGAAAAACACACGCGCCATCTGTAACTCCTTGGACATCTGCGTGCGCCGCGACGTGGTCCGCTTTACCGTTGGCGTGGAGCGCAAAGAAAACAAACGGGTGGTACGCAAAAGTGGAGGACTGGTGGGCATATTTGGCGTAGGCACATGAGCGTGTACAAGTTTTGCTGTACGTTCGTCGACTACCTTACACACAAGGCTCCTTTGAGAATTCCCGTTTGCAAACAGTGTTTCTCGCACAAGGGAAGGAACGACTTGAAGCGCGGCCCACGCGGGACATTTGGGGTGTTTGGGTTTCACATCGCAGTTGATACGTGTTTTGTATGTCAACGGCCAAACACCGCTGGCATTCAGGAAAAGGCATTCGTACGTGTACACGTTCCGGTGCAAGCCCCACGGCGGCACATGTCGTGTATCCGTACCTCTGCCTTGCGCATGCCTTCGAGGGCAACTTCGTGCGCCACCATCGGGCGAAGAGGGGGGGCAAGCCGGGGATGCGCAAACTCGTAACCCTCGTACTTGAGCAGCTGTGGAATTTGCAAAAAATGAACGTGTGATGACCGAGGCCAACGAATGTGCGCAGGGAGTGCCGGACGCGACACAACAAAGGGTCCATTAAGGTCCAGAGCACATACAATTTCTGCAATTTCAAGAAGGGCAACACAAAAACGTAGCGACTGCAATAACTGAGATTAAACGAGCTTAAACAACGCGGACCGGAAGGTCGACAGCCAGGCACGGTCGTACAAAAACAAGGGCAGTACGTTACTCTGCGGCAGATTTTGCCACGAAAAAAAATGCCGTTCAAACCTCTCCCCACGGCCCCCGGTCCCTCCTCATTTCTCAACCTCTTGACTGCACCATGTAAACATGCCACGAAAAGCCATGCGCGCCGTGTGCTGCATGCGGTTGATACGCAACCCCGAAAGAGAAAAGGGGGGGGGATACGCCCACCAAACTCCTCGAGAAAACAACCAGCGAAACCAACAACTTCCATCCTCGCCGCCTTAACCTTCCACGCTTACATGTACCCCTTGTCACGCCCACCTGATCGATCGCCGGCTCAAGCGCGAATTCCTGGGCCCCTGTCGCCGCCCCGAACGCGGGTGGGGCGCTGGCCGACGAAGACGAGGATGCCGACTGCGGGGAGAACGTGAGGCCGCAAGAGAGGAGGATGCCGACCAGTTCACGGAAGCGTGCGCGCTCCTGCGGGCTCAGTAGGTCCGGGTTGAGCTGTGCGGCGACATATTTTGGGGAGAAAGCGAGGGGCGGGAGGGGTGGGAAAGGTCGCTCTTATTGATACCAAGTAACGGGTTTATACCCTTGGGAAGGGACTGACATTGAGGAATGGGCAGGGCAATCTTTTCCGGCGGAAACAAGGGAAGTACGTGCAAGATACCAAAAGTGACAAACTCTACGTACCAGAGGGAATAGCCCACACACGGTACAGTAGAACACCGAGCAGAGTTACAAACGAGGGTAGGCTTACCGGCCTCAGGGTGGGGGCCAAGATATCCATCAGGTGGGACAGCATGTCCAGCACCAAAGCCTGCACACATACACACACGCCAAACGTGAAAGTAGCGCGGAAAACGGGGGGGGTGGGGGGGTGTGCTCATATTATTAGTCGTGCATGCCGTGGTCGTTAGACCATTGACCTCGCATCCCTACAAAGCCGGGACGGAGCACGTCGGGTTCTCACCGGACCAGGCTCTCACATCACCAAGCGCGAAGCGCCGTGAGATATTCGGCGAGTCGCATGAAGGGTGCGCTGCATCCTGCTAAGGGTGTTCGGCATCTTGTGCTTACTTCCTTGCGTACGGATGACAGCTGCGTATGACTTAATTTACTTTCTGGTGCTTTCACTTCCAGAGACAGTTGTAAGCACTGTGTAACTGCCTCGAGGGTGCTTGACCATTTTAACACAACGTGGTGCGATCATCCCCCTTGCGCGGAGTGAGGGTTCTCCACCCCGCACAACATGATCTACTCGACCACCATTATGGTTACCGCCAAAAAAAAAACAGAGGTAAAAAACAACGGTAACCCGGTTGCTGAGCTCACGAAGTGAGTTGGCTTGTTTTAAAATGTCGTTGCCAAGCGACGAAAACCCGATCCCGATGGCAAACACCGATGGGGGGGCTTGTTTTACAACGTCGTTGCCAGGCGACGAAAACCCGATCCCGATGGCAAACACCGATGGGGGGGCTTGTTTTACAACGTCGTTGCCAGGCGACGAAAACCCGATCCCGATGGCAAACACCGATGGGGGGGCTTGTTTTACAACGTCGTTGCCAGGCGACGAAAACCCGATCCCGATGGCAAACACCGATGGGGGGGCTTGTTTTACAACGTCGTTGCCAGGCGACGAAAACCCGATCCCGATGGCAAACACCGATGGGGGGGCTTGTTTTACAACGCCGTTGCCAAGCGACGAAAACCCAGCCCCGATGGCAAACACCGGGAGGGGGGGGTGGGGGGTGGGGGGTGGGGGGAGGGGTTTGAGGATACGAAGGCAAACCTCGAAAAACGCACACACCACGACGGACGCTTTCGGGCACGCGCATTCAGCAGCAGCAGGCTCCTGTGGGTGGCTGGGGGAACAAGAAACACTTGGAGACAGTGTTGTGCGTATACGCCATGATTTTATGACCAGGTTCAAGTCTCGGAGGACGTACTTTTGGCCGACCAAGACGGGTTGGGCAGGGGGCACGGGAACGGAAGGAAAGGGAAGGGCAGGGTCTCGAACTCAAAGCGGGACGGCATCCATCTTCGTTTGATACACGGTGGGCGAGCTGGAGATATTGCGCAGCCGCAGCAGGTGGTCACACCACCGTCGACCCGTAATAATGGAGTGCACATGCGCGCACCGCAATCTCCTGTGACGCCTCCCCCCGCCCACCCTAAACAAAGCGCTGAAAAACTTCGATTTTGTGGTTGGTTTCGCAATGAAACCTTCACGTCAAGTGACATGCGGCATCACAGCACGCCAGGCTGCCGTCAGGCTGCAAAATAACGCGGAAGGATAAAACGCTTGACGCACTTTTCTTTTGCTGGGAAGTTTTGTCCTCGGGGGTAGAGAGAAACAGTGCAAGGCAACGACAGTTCCCCCCGTGAGGCTGTATTTAACCCCCGGGGGGTGCTGTTCCACAAGAAAAATAAATGTCCTTTCGCCGAGGGCGAATCAAAGGAAACTACGTCTACTGTAAGTCATCTCTCCCAATTACAAGTCGGGAAATGTCATCTGCCGCGGCGTTTCCATGGTACTTGTTTACGAAGCCAGCGTGGCTGCGGTTTTCACCTCGAAAAAAGCACCTCTCGGTCGCCCAGGAACGCTGCGCTTGGGCGCACGTCAACATGCAACATGGCTACCTTAACCCATGCAAACCCAAAAAATCCTGACAAGGTTGTCACTGGTCACTCGGCAAGCGCGGTCGATGATTCAACACGCACACGCATGGACACATACACCCCGGGTCACCTGAGTCGTACGCCCGGTGGCACCCAGCTGGCGGCCGTCGGCGAAGCTGTGCAAGATGTTGCTCTTCGCGGCGCGAGCGGTGCGGGCCTCGTAGTCCTTGGTCGGGGCAACAAAAACAACCAAGACATGGGCGAGAAAAAAAAACGGACATGAGCATGAGAGCTGACGCACCCCGTTATGACGACCCGACAAGGGAGAGAGGGGTACCAAGCCAGTGAACCATCAGAGAGAAATCGGAGAGAACACAACCAACTACATCGACAACGGAGCCAAGCACACGAAGGAAAAAGCGAGAAACCACGTCCACCACACCAGCAACCTCCGCGTGTTCCTGAGAGAATAATTGCACAACAGTTAATGTGAACCGCAGCTGCTGTGCACACGAAAGCGGCACGAGTTTCAAGACGCGGGACGAACCAGCAACGGAAACTCGACACGCCATACACACGACCGAGGCGAGCACACGAAACCCTAAACTCGCAACAGGCAGCACTTCCCAAGGACACCCTCCGATACCGCGCGCAACAGCCTTCCAACAAGCCACAGAACGAAATCACGTTCCAAATTTCCTCTCCGCATTCTTCCACGTAACTGGTCATGAAATGTTTTTCAGCCAGCCAGCCAGCCTGCCCCCCCCCCCCCCCCCCCCCCCC